GTGGCAGAGGACCAGGACTGAGTCCTGCAGAGGCCTCTGATCTGAGAATTTGTGGAGCACCGCAGCAGAGTAAGGTGACAGGGAGACTGGGGCCAGGCAAGGTAACACAGCCCTGCAATACCAGCTGCCCATGAGAAACTGCCCATTGTGGAGAGACCGAGTGCCAGGAGGGACAGGGCCTCAGGGAAGTCTCGCTGGAGAGTCAGGATTTTCCCTACTTGCAGGGATGACAGTGTTATCCATCTGATATTCTCCCAGGGAGTTTTAATACCTGGAAGTTTTGGCACAGTTTAAAACAGTGCTGGACTCTGCACAAACATTACTGGGCTGCATAGGTGAGACGGAAGCTGCAGCTCTCAGGTGAGGAGCTGACCTGCTCTGCACCAAGAAGGAAGCAGGAAGAGAAGAAGGGCTGGGAGGGCTGCAGAGGGGTTCATGGCAGGCAAGTGTGCGGACAGGAGACAGATATGCAGGTCAGTCCTAACCCTTCCCACACTGGGAGTGGCTCACGGTAGAGCACTGGCTGCCACTGACCTGTTCCTGAGTTCCCAGCAGCTGCCCCCTCCAGGCCCCTGTTCACGGGTGGTTGAAAGTTTTGGGGGTGACCTGAGCTTGGGGAGCGTGATGCACCCTTCCTGGGAACAGGGAGTTGCTTCTATCATCTGTTTCAGCTGTGCTGAGCTGAGGACAATGGTGAGTCACCTGGGACTGGAGGCTTTTATTTGCTTATTATGAACACACAGGGGAACCTCCTTCATGAGCAGAATCCTCCTGAAGCACCATGCAGATGGGTCATGAATCTGCAGGCAGCAGGCCCCTTGTCTAGGTCCTTGTCAGTGCACTCACAGAGGCACCTACAGCAGCAACTCAGTAATCTAAAATTGACATTCTTTAAACTTGCTTTTGGCGTTTTTGTTATGCTTCAAATTTTTACTAGCACTAACTGTAACCTCAGGAGGCTGAGGCAGAAGCATCACTGCCCAGCCTGTGCTACATAGTGAGTTCAAAGCCAGCCTGGACTACACAGCAGGACCCTTTGTTATGGTTAAAACATTGTGTCAACTTGAGAAGTTTAGAAGTTTTAACTGACAGCCTCAGCAGGGAACCAGCATTTTTACTTTGTAAATATCCTCATCCCTTGCAAAGGAGGGCAAGGAGATTTTGTGAATGCTACACCTTCCCTGAAGGTGCTATATACAGTATAAGCCAGGAGAAGAGGCTTGTTTTCTTCCCTTTTGCTCTGGCTGCTGCCTTGAAGTGTTGCCCAGTGCTATGCCACCCTGCCTTTAAGCCAGTTGATTATGGACTGAAACCTCCAAAACCTGTAAGTGATAAACCTTTCCTTCCTTCATTTTGAGTGTCAAGTGTTTTGTTCCAGCAATGAGAAAAAAGTAACCAAGACAGAATTTGATACAAGGAGTGGGGTTGTTGTGACTGTACCTGACCATGTGGTTCAAGACCCTTTGAAAATGGCTTGTGGGAAGAGTTTGGAAAGATTTAGAGATGTTGCCTGAAAGAGTAGCCCTGGAACAGCTTAGGCTGTTCTGTATGGGAGATTCTGGTCAGAGTCAGGAGACCAGAAGCCTGCCAGTAAAGACCAGGCTTGGGAGGTTTCTGCTGGGAAGGACTGCACTGGTTGTTGGACTCCACATGATATGTGTTATGGATTGGCAAAAAGTTTGTCTGCATTTTGCTTGCATCCAGTGGCTTTGCCTGAGACTGAGATTAGGGGCACTGGACTAATGAATCCAGCAGAGGAAATTTCAAGGCAGTCGGTTGTTGAGGTGGTGGCATGGCTATTGTTGAGGGCTTTTAGCCAGATTTATGTTACAAATCAAGATCAAAGAGCCCAAAAGGATGATTTAAAATGTTGTGAGTTTGGCCAGAAAGGAAGTTCCAATAATGCTGTGGACTGCAAAGATACAGCTAAGGAAATCTCAATTGCTGAGAACGAACAGGATAGAAAAAATGGCCTACAGGCATTGCAAAAAGCAGCAGGTCCCCATGCTTTGCAGCCCTAAAGCTGCAAAAGTGAAAGACTTTGCTTGGAGGAGAAAGCTTCAGAGCACCATATTCCAGAATGGTGGCATAAGCCCCACAAAGTCCCAGAATGGCAGCAGCATAGAGAATTTGTTCCTCACACAATCAGGTTTAGAGCACCCAGTAATCCAGGCCCTCGACCTCACAGCCAAGAGAAAAGAAAGCCGGGTTTCTGTTCCAGCCAGCAGCAGACCTCAGCAGCATCCACATGGTGCTGGTTTTAAGTGTGTACAGAATACAGGGGTTCTGAGGTTAAGAAGGCTTCCACACCGATTTCAGAAGGCCTGAGAGGCCAGGTAGTGTTCCCCTGAGAAGGCACTGTGTGAAGCTGTGAGTGTGAAGCCAAAGGTGCAGTGGAGACCCCAGAAGTTTAGAAAAGCCAGGAACATGGATCATCTAAGGAAGGCTGCAATGAGAAAATAAAGTCAGCCCAAATGAGAAGTCATTGGATTGACAACCACTAGAAGTACCATGGGGGTGGGACCATGTAAGCCCTTTGGAGCTCACAATTTGCCATAGATTGCTTCAGATGCTGCATGTGCAACTACAGGCAGGACTTAACTCTTTGCCCTGCTGGATTTTGGACTTGCTTTTTTGTCCCAATCCTTTGTACTGTCCTGTTTGTAACTTTTTGAATGGGAATGCTTATCTTATGCCTTTGCATGTTGGAAGTGTTTAAACTGTTTTCATTTGTACAGGGGATGCACCTAAGAGTTTGCCTTCCATCTTGGAGGAGACTTGGAACTTGACCTTTTCAGTAATGCTGAAACTGTTAGGACTTTGGCAACTCTTGCAGATGGACTAAATGCCTTTTGCATAAATGGATGTACATGAATCTTCGTTATGTTTCTAATGGAATACAGTGCAGATAGACTTTGCTGGTTCTTAAAGATTGTTCAAGACATAAAAGGTTAAGAATAAACATGCCTTTGTATCTGGAGGCTGGTTTAAGGAAATATGTCTGGTTGCCAAACTGACAAGGGGTAGATTGTTAGGATTAATACATTGTATCAACTTGAGAGGTTTAGAAGTTTAATTAGGAGACTCAGCAGGGAACAGGTTCCTTATTTTGTAAATACCTTCATCCTTTGCAAAGGAAGGTAAGGAGATTTTGTTAGTGCTACGCCTTCTCTGAAGGGGCGGGAACTATATACAGTATAAGCTAGAAAAAGAACCTTGTTCTCTTCCCTTTTGCTCCGGCTGCTGCCTTGAAGTGTTGCCACAGTGCCATGCCACCCTGCCTTCGAGCCAAAAACTATAAGAAATAAACCTTTCCTTCCTTGATTTTGAGTGTTGGTATTTTTGTCCCAGCAATGAGAAAAAAATAACCAAAACATGCTGTATCAAAAAAAGAAAGTAGGAGCTGGGGGTTTAGCTCAGCAGCAAAGTGCCTGCTTGGCAAACATGAAGTCATGAGTTTGATCCCTGGTACAAAAAAAAAAAAACCCAAAGTAATAATAACATACAGTAATTTTAAAAATGATAATGTGTTGTGGATTTGTAATTTTTTAACCCTAAAGCCAATAATATTAGAATATTTAAGAACTGCAGTGCTGGGGGACCAGGGATATGGCTCAGAGGCATAAGCACCTGCCTACCAAGTGCAAGGTCTTGAGTTTGATCCCTGGTACCCCCCCAAAAAAATTTTTTTTTAAATTCAGGACTGCAGTGCTAGCCAGGCATGGTAGCACACATCTGTCATCCCAGCACTGGAAAGGCTGAGGCAAGAGGATTGCCATGAGTTTGAAGTCAACCTGGGCCCTATAATGAGGTCAGGGCCAGCCTAAACTATGTAGCAAGGCTGTTTCAAAAAACTAAAAATAAATCACATAATGAAACAAAACAACAACAACAAAAAAACTACAGTGCTTCCTAAGGCCCATTTTACTTGATGTGACTTGAAAACTAAATCTTTAAAGAGGACATTTCTAATTGATAGGTTAAGCTAATATTAAAATGAGACCAGTCTCACTATCCTAGTTTCACCACCATGCTCTGGCTGATACTGTATATGGAAACCACTTTCCAGGTTTGCAACTTTTCTGCACTGTGAAAATCAGGTCAGAATAAAAATTAAAAGAATCTGTAAAGCTATGGGAAAGAAATAACACTTAGGTACTAAAAAGGCAGGTTGGTTAAGCCTTAACATTTTGCCATATTTTACTCTTTTTTGTTTTAAACATTACAGGTGCAACCTTAGGCACTGTCTTCCTTCTGTGATCCCATTCGATTCCCACTTCTCCATAAATCCTATTTTGAACTTGATCTTTATTTCAGGTGGGATTTAATACTATTTCATAGTAATATATTACTTTAATTTAATCGTATACTTAATACTACCCAACTGTGACTTTAAAATGGTTAAGATAGTAAATTCATATGTACTTAACCAAAAAAACAAACATTCAGAGAAGAAAAGGTAACTGAACTGCATTGCTTATCAGAAAACAGGAAGCCTCCCTGTTCCCCTGGGTTGGCTGTTTATAGAATTACTACCACAAAGACATCCTTCCAACTACAGAGCTTAGTTGTAACCTTTGCAGTGTTTATTTGGGGAGGATGGAGGAGGAATGCAATTTCCATGAAGTGTTTGTACAGTCATTCCCCATGGGACACTGAAAGGGAAAATCAAGGAAAATTGTTCTGTTTAAAACTGCCCTGATCTGTAACTGCTTCCAGGGTCTGTAATTGCTTTCTTGACTTCTGTAACCATGAGGGCATGCATGAGCATGCTGGATATATCTTGATTGTAGTGTAACCATGCATTCGAGAAAGTTACTCACAAGACACTGAGAGTCAAGAAACAAGGGAGCTTTATTTTAAGACCTACAGTGGTCAGCAGCAAATTCAGGCAGCTGAGGGTACTGACTTTGCTCTTTTGTTCTGTTTTCCATATATACTCATGTGTGACTTCACAAGGTAAGGGGGTTACCATGGCTACCACCTTTGCAGCACCAGCATTGCTTTGGAATGTTGCAAGACCTCCTTACACATCTGGTTAATTGTCACAGAGTGTGGGAACTGGGCAGTTTGGTCACCTTGAGATGAAACCTTTTGTTTCTCTTTCTGTAGTTTTCAATGGCCAGTTAAGGGAGAGGAAGAGGCCTTTTAGAGATTTTGCCGAAGTTCACTAACTGTTTAAAGTCTAACTGCTAGCTAAGCACCAAAGCTATAAAGTAAATGAAGTTTTCAAGACTAGGATTTGGGGAGTTTTAAAGGGAAAGGGGCAAAGAAAAGAAAGCAAACAGTGGGGTTATGAATGCCCTCACAATAGCAGACTCTGTAATTACTAACCTAGCCTTACAACTGATGATCTCACCTTGCTAACTAGTCAAAGACAGCCAAGCTATGTCACTTTTGTAACTCCTACCTATAGATCTTATAAAAATGCTACACCAGGTGTGGTAGCTGTTGTACCCCAAAAATGAGACCCCAAGGTGTTGTCCAAAAACAGGGCAAAACATTTTTTAAAAGAAAAAGGAACACTTTATTTAAGCTGATACCCAGCGACACAGTGCAGTTGGAATTTGCAAAGCTGTGTAACTAGGTTAGATTTTTGTCAGGCTTATAAAGGAAAAAACAGTAAAGTAAGGGGTGAGAGAGGAGTAAGGTTGAGGAAGACCTTTGTCCACTTTTTGCTTGAGGACAGATTTTTAGAGGAAGTTCCACAGTTGGTGGTCAGCAAGTCCTCCTTTACAGGAACTTGCAGCCTGTGGTCAGCTAATTCCAGGAACATCTGTTTTTCGTTATGGGGCCAAGGATTAAGACAGAATGTGGGTAGCTTGTGGCCATCTGTTTTTGGGAACAATTGTCCCTCCCAAAGGTTAGCACAGCAAACAGGGTGATGACGCATACAGAACAGTATGGCGGTGTTTTGGTTAGATCACAACAGTAGTGCACACCTGTAATCTCAGCACTTGGGAGGCTGAGGCAGGAAGATCATAAGTTTGAGCCATCCTGGGCTACAAAGTGAGTTCAGATGTCAGGAGCCTCTGCTCATTCCCCAAAGTGCCAACATACTCCTTGTAAAATTGGCCCCCGTCCTCACCTCACAGGCCTTGTGGGCACAGTTGTGTCTGGTCCTGTGGAAGGGGTACCATTGGCTCTGCCATGCTTCCCGGCAGAAGTTCTATCAGGAGACTATTTGGGGACGCTAACTTCGTAGCGCACACGTGTGTATCCAGGCAGCCAAGATCTGTGTTCCCCCAGGAATAAAAGCTGTGGCTTCATCTTGTTCTTATCTGCAAGAAGCTTCTCTGAAAAGGTGTCACAGCCTCACTGATGAAGGAGTCCTCGCTCTCGCGCTCAACTGCCGGCTGCTCAAGATCATTGACTTAGGTGGCTGCCTCAGTATTACCGATGTGTCTCTGTGTGCATTAGGAGAGAACTGCTCACTTTTGAAGTGTGTGGACTTTTCAGCTACACAGGTAATCAGTGTGCCTAAAATGTCAAGATCACATGACCCCACGTGTGACCCCAGTACTTTGTGACCAGTCAGGAATCATTCATTCTTTCTGTTGTGGAAGGGGTTGGCCATTTCACATTTGGGTAGCTAAGTAATTGTGATTTAATTTGGATGTCCCCCTTATTTTAAATATCATGGATGGGAAGTATGTATAAGGAACACTCAAAGTTTGCTCGACAGAAGGCAGTGTGAATCTAAACAATTGATAAATTTCAGGAACCTCTGCCTCCTTCAGCTGTTTACTCCTGGCTGTTTCTTTTTCTCATTGTGTAGGTGTCAGACAGTGGTGTGGTTGCCCTCGTTAGTGGACCCTGTGCCAAGAAATTAGAGGTAACTTTTACATATTTAGTAGTAGTGATAACTAAATTTTATGTCATTCTCAGAAATTATTTCTTAAACCTAGCTGACCAATGTCTCATCAATCAGGTATTCCACGGTCAACTTTTTGGCTCAACTTCTTTATTCCCAAAGTAAATAAAAATTCATAAACTGAAAAGACAAAATCACATTAAAATTTGGGTGAAAATCTGACTTCCCAGAAGTTTTAGCTTCTCACATATTCGAGGAGGCTCCTGATGTACACTGATTGTGCAGGTTGCTCTCTGTGCGCACGCTGATCAGAAGCTCATGTCTGGCTGGTATTCCTTTTGCATCAGCTGAGCCTCTCTCTCACCACTCTCATTCTCTGTATAGCCATGTTGTCCCGCCCTGTAGAAAGGCTTGGATCAGTGTACACCAGCCTTCTGTCCCAGCGCAGATGGGTGTACTGCATGGTCCCTGGTCTCCCTTTCTTTCTCGCTACCTCTTTCATTCAGCTCAGTGTGGTGTCTCTGAGATTCATGCACGTTGCTGCTTTGGGGATGCCAGGCCCCTTTTTGTTGCTGAGTGGATTCTGTAATGTAACTGCCATAATTTGTTTATACTTTTCTCGTGTAATGGGCATTTGGGTCTCTCAGCTTTGGACTTTTATAAATATCGCTGTGGACATTTTGCACCCATGTCTTTGTTTAGATACATTTTCATGTTTCTTGGCTAAGTAGCTGGGAGTGAAATAGCTGGATGTATACCACATGTTCAGCTCTATCAGATACAGCAGTACTATTTCCCACAAGCTCTTAACATGTTGGAGAGTTCTTTCCACTCTGACAAAGAGGTATCTTCATTTCTTCAGACTTACATTGTTACTTTCTACATAGTTTTTGGTTTGGTTTGGTTTTATGAAAAAATAAAACAAAACTTCATAATAAAATACTAAGATAATAACAGTAGTTAATCCAATGTACATTTGTTTTGGTTTTTTTTCACTAGTAAATGCTTGCCTGTTGTGTATCAGTGTGACCTTCACACATCTGTACACTGTCATTGTTGATCGGTTTTCTTCCTTTCTTTTTTTCTTTCCATAATTAGGAGATTCACATGGGACACTGCGTTCACTTGACTGATGATGCTGTGGAGGCTGTTGTTACTTACTGTCCTCAGATCCGGATTCTGCTCTTCCATGAATGCCCACTGATTACAGGTCAGTCTGATAGAATGCTTGGTTCGGCACGGTCTTCAGCCACTGTTTGCTACTTCATCCCATACAGGACTCAGTTTCCTCATCTGTAATGCAGCTGTGGCACCATGCCTCTGCCATGGCTTCCTCCTGTTGAGTCTGTTTTGGACTCAGTAATGGCCTCAGTGGCGGTGAGCACTGTACCTCTGCAACTGTGGCTGTGATCCTGCCTGGGACACCTTATACAAACAATCCAAAACGGTCACTTTATGATATTACGCCAAACATTTTAAATTCACAATATCTTGGACTCAAGCAGATGTGGCTCTTCCCTGAAGGAACAGGCAGGGCCACAGACTTGTGTCCCTGATGCCAAATTCCACCACAGAAGCTTTACCTCCCTGGCTCTCCCATTAGTCAACAATCCTGCCCAGCTCATCTAGACCAGGCCTTTGATTATAATGCAAACAATTACCCAGCAGGTTAGTGCTTTTTTGGGGAGTCCTTTGGCTAATTTCTGTCTCTCTTTCTTGGTTATCTCAGCAGCCTTAACCAAGAGACTAGTCTCATTTCTCAAGAGCTTGGAGTCAGGGCATGGGGATGTAGCTGTACAGCATAAAAGCCTGCCTGGCAAGTGCAAGGTCCTGAGTTCAATACCCAGTGCCAAAAGGAGAAGAAAAAAAAAAAACTAGAACCAAAAATGATACCAGCTATACTGGTGTACACCTCTCATCCTACCAGGAGGCTGAGGCTGAACAATACGTTTATGGCCAGCCTGAGCTTTGCAGTGAGTTTAAGGACAGCATGAAAGACATGGTGAAGCCCTGCTAAAAGAACAATAACAACAACAAAAACCTGTTATAAGTGGTTGTCTCTAGGGAAACTTATAGAGGGTCAGTATGAAAAAGATTCACTCTGTAGCCTTTTGTTTGAATTTTATATTATGCGGAGAGTTTAACCCACTAAAATATTTAATAATAATTTAAGAGCGAAAAACTCAAGGGAATGAAACAGTACATGTTGTGTACACTATTGTAGGGATTGTGAGAGAGGCAGACTGTTTAGAGTAATTATCAAAACCCCAAGGATGACTGAGCATGGCAGTGCCGCCCTGTGCTCCCAGTACACAGGCAGCTGAGCAGGAAGAGTCAAGAGTTGAGACTGGCATGGACAACATGATGAGACCTTGTCTCCAAAAACAGCAGGGATCTTAAGAATAACGAAGTCTTTATAAAGTTTTACCCAAAAAATATACTTCAACAAAGCCAGTATTAAAATGCTTAAGCATGCCTGGGGGCTCACAGAGAATTAAATTTTTTTCCAGTCTGAAAAATTTGTTGGAATAGTTAATCATATTTCAAACCAGCAATCTTTTGAGATAAATTCTATAATTATGTTAACAATTGGTAGATTCACCAGAAATGTGTCCCTGGATTGATCCTATGAGCCAGAAGACTGAATCATCCCCACTGTGTAATGGGTGACAGCCGGGGTCTTACAGACTCAGTGGTAGACTCTCGGACGAGAACCACTGTGTGTCCACATGTTCTGTTTAGTAAATCACCATTCATCCAGCAGGTACTCAAGAAATGTGCATAATTAACAAAATTCCCACCCAAGAGCAAGAGAATGACCTTCCTGAGAACAGTTTTAATGGGGGAAGGGGAGCAAAAACAAGTCATTATTAATGTTGTACCTTAAAAGACACGCTTGTCCAACGTAAAAAATTAGAGTGGCTGGCTAGGGATACAGCTCAACAGCACAAGTGCTTGCCTGGCATGCGTGAAGTCATGCATGAGTTTGACCCCTGGTACCAAAAAAAAAGAAAAAATTGAGTGGTATTTTAGGAGAATGAGATGATGTATTTAGAAACATTTTTAGTGACATATAAAGTACCAGCAACAATTATAAAGTTAATGTATCTCAATCAAAAAAGCCATTCCCCTGTGTCCTGGCTGCTATCTAGATGTCCCCCCAAAGCCTCATGCGCTTGCAGGTGGGGGTCTGGAGAACGAGTGGATGCGGTGCAGCTCCATTACCAAAACCCGTGAATGGTGCTTTTATCTCAAGATCAAAAGGAAAATCAGTGGAATTGTTCAGAACACAAACAGGCATTCTGCCCTGTACCTTGTATTTTTCAGTGTTTGTGGTTCCAGGGCCTCACACATGCAGGACATGTGCTCTGTCACTGTGCTGCATCCTGGCCCTGGGCCTGTTCTTTCAGAGGGAAGGAGGGCAGCACAATTCTAATAATCCCGCATGGCCCTGTCATGGGAGTAGTGCTTTGCAGTAGGGTAAACGGCGGGGCTCTTTGTTCTTAGGCAGTTTACCAACAGCATGGCTATTGAAGACCTTCCAGAGGCAGCCATATTTAGAGGAAGCTAGCTATAGTCTGGAGCCCTCTTTATCTGTTCATTTTTTTTTCTTTTTTTTTTTTTTGTACCAAGGATCAAAATAACGACTTCACACTTGCCAGGCAGGCGCTTGTGCTGCTGAGCTAAACCCAGCCCCTCCGCTTTCTTTGTCCCTTTCTTTGTTTGTTTGTTCATCTTTGAGTCTAGACCTTGCCTGGCCTGGGAGACCCCTGGCCCAGTGCTACACCAGTGTCCCACAAAGACCCAGGCCATCCACCACTTTCTTGTCCATAACACACTCAGGACCTTTGGTTCAAAAGCCTGTGGTACCAAGTGCATGGCTACATAACCAGTTGTTTTCAATGCAATCTCAATAAACATAATCTTTAGCCACGTACAATCAGCCCACTTTGGATTCCCTGCAAAATAACATCCATGACCCTGTCAAAGCCAGGGCTATAAAGACCCCCAAGCTACAGCTGCCCTTTATAGTTCTCTGCGACCCTCATCTCGCTGAACATCTTGACAAGTAAACCCTCTCCCCAGCCCCCTAGGAATCCTCTATCCCCCTCCCCTAGTGCATGGCAGCTCCCTCACTGTGGCCTGTGGAGGGCCCATGCCTCGAAGCACTTCTGCCTCAAACCTGCATCCACACCGCCACAGGAATGCTCACAGCATCTTACTGCCCCCTCATGGTCATGTGTGTCCCCTTCAGCTGCCTTGATTTCCCTCAGATGCTCTGCACATTTGACATCCTACCTGCTGAAAATGTGCATACATCATACAAGTTTGCAAAACACAGCACAGTAGTGCAGGTTAGCCTGCCAAAGCGCTAAGCACCGAGTTTCCTTTCTCATTCATTGAGCTGTCTTCCCAACTTTTAGCACATAACCCCTTTTTGATTGACCTAGCCAACTCCTTTATCTTTTTTTCTGATCCCTAATACACAAAAGAGGAAGGTGAGATATCAAACTGTCCTTTTGCCAGTAACATGATTTTGAATAATCATGAAAGACCACTTCATGATACAGTTCCCCTGTATCATGAAGATACAGGGAAACGAGTGCTGCTGCATCCCCAGCCTCTCCAAAACACTGAGTTAATCGCTTCCTTGTGTGCACGCAGCTTTCTCTTATGTCCTGTGGTTAATTATCATAAAGCTGGGGGCTCATACACACTGTGTTTTGGGTGTGTGTGTGTGTGTGTGTACCAGGAATAGAATTCATCATGTCACACTTGTCAGGAAGGTGGTATGCCACTGAGCTATATCCCTGGCCCCACACTAGTTTTTATGGATATTCCTTAGCAAGAAAAAAGTGGCCCAGTTTTTAACTACACAGATCATCTCTGGTCCTCCTCCTGTCCTCTCAGCATTCCTGAGTCTGCCACCATTATGCTCCCTGCTAGCATCACTGAATGAAAGGAAAGTGGGATAAAATGCACACCTTATATATAATTCTTCATTTTTTCTTCCTCCAGAGAAAAACACTTTATGATTTGATGAAGATGAGTACTTCCTGCTACTTTACATAAGATATTTTACTCATATATTCTTCTGATTGCTTCTGAGGGTGTCTAAGACAATACAATTCACAATCTGTAGAAAATAGTGTACTCACATCTGTGTGCAAAGCAGCCTGACCCTCGGCATGGTGATACCCACTGTGACTTGCCATTAGAGCCTTGAGTTACCTTCTCATTTAATCGTCTAAGTATATTTCATTGCATATATCCAGTTGGGGGGGGGGTACAGTAGTAGGTACTGAACCCAGGGGAGCTGTCTCCTAATTCCTTTATATTTTTCTCTTTGAGACATGGTCTCCCTAAATTGCCCAGGTTAGGTTCAAATTCACAATGCTCCTGCCTCAGCTTCCCAAATAGCTTCGGTGATAGGTGTGTACCCTCCACCTATTTGTAAAATTTCTTAAGCTTAGATTATTAAAAAAAAAAAAAAAAAAAAAAAAAGCTCTACCTTAGGAGTTAGGTCTTGAAACTTAAAAAGCACTCTGGTTTGATTTTTGCCAAAGAGACCAAAATGAAACTGCTCTTTGAAATGTAAGTCATAATGTCACTTTATAGTGTTATAGAAAGAAAGATAACTTTTAACCGTTTAAAATTTTGTGTAGTTCAGTCCACAGTGATTGTCATTAAATGTACCTCAAGTCCTTAATATTTTCCAACCCGGGATGTGCATGTTAGCACCTCAGACTTACCTACTCTGATGTACAATAGCAGCAGACCAGCCGGTTGGCCGTTGGGAGGGCAGGAAAGCAATGGGATGGCCAGAGAGCCCTGCTGTTTCACCCAGAAATGCAGGAAAATCTAACAAAAGCACTGCCCCTCTCAGCTGCCTGGAATTTTGGTCATACTTGTGGACTGGCCAGCCCTGATTACACCAGGGACAGGTTCTGAGATCGGAGGTGGCCAACCCGTCGAGTATTGCCACAAACCAGCTGAAACGAAAGTGTTTATGGCCGAGTGCTTGCTTCAGAATGCTCTGTATCTTAAAGTTGATTACTTGCGGGAAAAGCAGCTCCTTTTGATTTCGCGTTTATTTCTGTTTCTCCTGCGTTACTGTTTCCTCATGGTCATTCGTTCATTGTTAATCGAGTATGAACCGCTTTCCCCACTCCACGGTAATAAACACAGAATACCGGTTGTTTGTAAGTATGTGTCTGCTTTATGTTTTCCTGTGCATATTAACAAAAAAGGACCAAGGAACAGTTTCTCGATCATTTGAAAAACCCCGTGTCACCACCTGCACACAGACCGTCCTCCTGAACAATGAGCCCCGTCGCGGCCGTGGGCGTCTTGAGGTGTCCAGTGCATCCTCAGGGTCCTCTGTACAGGTCCCTGTCTCAGCCTGCGAGGAGCAGCACGACAGGTGGACGCAGCCTGTCCTGGTCCTTCGCAATGCTCCATGGAATCGGAAGTGGAGCCTAAGCCGCCCGGTCCACTCCTCCTCCTCCAGAAGTCCCAGCGCTCAGCAGGAGAGGACGGCAGAGCGGAGCGCTGTGCGCAGCTCCAGCAGTGACCCTGGCACGCCTGGCCGGTCAGCGCTTCATCCAGAGCGTCTAAGCAATCGTGAGCTCCCCAGACACCCGCGACCCCACCCGGCGCCGGAGCCGTCCGGAGCCTGCCCTCCGGGGAGCAGCCGCACCGGGAGACCGGTGTGACACTGCCATCTAGCGTCGCGACTTGCCGGTCACAAAACTGCGAAGCCGGATTTCCGTGGAAGGGAAAGCCGCCCTGCGCCTGCAGCCCCGGATTCCTGCGAGAGTCACAGACCTGGTGCGGGACGCGGTCACAGCTGGGAAGGCGGCCAGCAGGGTCAGACGGGAAGTAAGGTCTGTGGCCGTCCCAGACCTCCCCGAGCTGCCTGCCTGGTCCTCAGATCTCATGTAAATACCAGGATCTGGAGGTATTGGAGTATTGCGGTCTTCACGTTTACCCACTGTGATCCAAGTACACAATGAATGTTTAAATTTCTAAAAAAATCTTAAGTAAAAGACATAATCCTTAATCCCTCCACATTTTGAACACACTTAACTCCACCGTTCTTTCCAACTTCTGAAGCAGTCTGGAAACGCTTTTTCCGTCTTTCTAACATGTGATCAAAAATACAGTGAATGTTGCTGCCAAGTGCCATCTAATAGAAAGGCAGCTTGTGAAAACACGGCAGCGGTCCTCACCCACCCGTTTGGATCTGCCACCGATCAACCTCTGGCTCTTCCTGAAAGTTAAAATGATCGTGAGAGGGAAACGTTCTGAATCCATGGAAAACACCCAGGTAGCCACAACAGCACTATAAAGCGCTTGTGAAAGAGGATTTGCATAATTGCTTCAGAGATGGGCAAGAACATTGCAATATGTGTGCCCAAACCGAGGGGGTTGAGCACAATCTGCTACTGTAATAAGGTTTTAGACTTAAACATTCACTGTATTTTTTTTATCCCACCTAGCACCTCTTCTGATCTATGGACACGGAAGTGAGGTGTATGTGTGCGATAGGATTTTAACCCAGGGCCTTTACACTTAGCTACATCTCCACCTCTTCCTGAATTTTTTGAGATAGAGTCTTGCTGAGTCCATAAACTGGCCTTGAACTTGTGATCCTCCTGCCTCAGCCTTCTGAATAACTCAGTTTACAGTTGTGCACCATGAAACCTAGCATATGGTTTTCTTTCTGATTATTTAGATTTTTTATTTCTTTCAACATTTTATAGTTTTTAGAGTTGTAAGTATTTACTGTTGTTAAATTTATTCTTTGGTGTTCTTTTTAATAGTAACGTATATGCAATTATTGTCTTAAAAGGCTGGGAATTTAGCTCAGTGGCACAAGCACCCTCCTGGCAAGCACGAAGTCACAAGTTCAAACCTCAGTAATGTAAAACAATTATTGTCTTAAATTCATTTTAGGTTATGTGTTCATGGCATATAGAGATATATTAATTATTGAATGTTGATCTTGTACCCTGCCAGCCTGCTAAAGTTCTTAGTTTTAACTTTCAGTGGATTCCTTGGGGTATTCTGCATGTAATAATGCAGTCACTTACAGCTAAAGGTAGTCTTCCTCCTTCCCACCGGAATTCCTTTTATTTCTTTGTCTTGCCTGTAACAGGAAATGCAGGATGAGGTTGAGCAGAAGTGTCAGGCGTGAGCACCCTGTCTTATCTTCAGTTTAGAGGGGAAACATCGGCTTTGGCCATCTGATGTTGGCTGTGGGCTTGTCACGGGTGCCTGTTACCAGGTGGTGGCATTTGCCCAGTGTTGGGTTTTGTCAAATGGTCTCTCTGCATCCCTTGAGTGGAATGTGTGGCTTTGTCGTGTCTTCCATTGATAAGGCAGAGGTGAAGGTACGGCAGTGCCCTGCCCTGGGAGCCTGTGGTGGTGTTAAAGCTGCAGGTGGAATTAAAGTTGATAATAAGGGTGTGTGTGTGTCCCACCGGGAATGAATCCTGGGGCCTGGGTGTAGTGTATAGGCAAGCCCTGGACCACTGAGCTACACCAGCCAGCCCCTAGCTGACCTCAGCAGAGGGCAGTTCCCCTCGCCTGTTTCAGTAGGGGCTGTGTCATCCTAAGGCTCCTTCAGGATGAAAGGGGGAAGAGCAGAATCATCGTAGAGGTGACAGCACATTAAGGCTGCTTCCGGATGCTGATCATCTTGGGTAGGGGAGTGGAGGAATGTGATAGTGCATAGAGTAGAAAGAGTCGGGTGGATTCTCCTGCAGAGCCTCCAACAGGATGCAGACCTGTCCAATCCCAATTTTACCCAGTGAGACCCTTTCAGCAAGTCTGTCCTTCATACCAGTAGGGCTACTGGGTATGTTAGGGCACACCCGTCATCCTAGTACCTGGGAGGCTGAGGCAGGAGAATCACCATGAGTTCCAGGTTAGCCTGGGTTCCATATTCAGTTCAAGGACAGACAAAGCTAAAGCAATAGCCTATCTCAAGAAACCTAAAAACAAACAAACAAATAAAAAAATTCCAGCTGGGCATAGTGGCACACACCTGTAATCCTAGCACTCAGGAGGCTGAGGCAGGAGGATCACCACAAGTCTGAAGCCAGCCTGGGCTGCAAAATGAGTTCAAAACCAGCCTGAACTACATAGTAAGACCCTGTCTTAATATTATTAATGGTATAAATAAATGTGTGCCATGTTTAGCCACTAAACTGATGGTACTTGTTACTACAGCAGTAGGAAACAGACCCAGGGGGTTGCACTGACATTCAAATTTTAGCACGGTTATACATTCTTGGGATAAATCCCAATTGATCCAGGGACATGATCCTTTCTACAGTTGCTGGGTTTGGTGAGCTAATGTTTGCTTGACTATTTTTAGTGTGTCTGCACAAGAGATCTGTATCTGTTGCTTTCTTTTTGGGGGTACCTTTGAATTTAGGGTCACAATAACACTGACCTCACAGAATAAGTTGAAAAATGCCCTTCTGTTCTCAGCACAGCTACTCCAGCCTTGTTGTGGCACTTGTTTGCATTATGTCTTGGTCCTTTTTTAACTTTCAGCCTATTTGATTTTTGACTCAAGATTTTGGGGGATTCACACATGAAATGGGATTGAGCCCAAGGTCCTGTACATGTTAAGCGTGCACTGTACCACTCAGCTGAAATCTGTGTTTATCAAGGCTTCCTGTGGAGCAGATTTCTACTCTGACACCCAGTGATATTTTTTATAACCATCAGTGAACCTTCATTATTATAGTCCCAGTAATGAGTGTTGTAATCCATGTTATCATACTAGTTACTTTTTAAAAAAATAATCTAAGCTTTTGTTCAATAATGACAGTTCCATTTCTGTACACCCTTTAGTTCTCTTGCTTTTAATAATTGTTAGTACTTTTGCTTCAAATAAAATTTAATAACCATCTACGTAGAGCCTATTTTTTGTATCTACTGGCTAATGAAATCTGTAACTTTAGGAGGCATTGAACAAGAATTTCCAAGGTTAGAGATGTGTTGTACTTACACAAGTTGTATGCATGGACTATAATTCAAAGTTACAAAAAAATAAAGGCTTCATAAGCAGTTTTTCATCCATAAATACAACAGACATTTTGGTATTTTTGGCCTCGGGAAAACAGAAGTTGTAGCATCAGGAAGTCTGAGATGTCTTTTGTAGATTTCAATCAGTACATTTAAAGTTAGATCACATTGATACCGGAATTTTAAAGGCTAGGCAAAAATTCATATTTCTAAAGACTCCTTATGCCTCCATTTGGTTACTAGTAGGCAGTAGGATCCCAGAAGTCTGAAAGTACTTCACAACCTCAGCATATAACTTCAGTTTCCAAACTAATTCATACTTAATAACACATAAGCCATTAAAAAAGAGTGTGTTGGGGCCGGGGATTTTGCTCAGTGGCACAGTGCCTGCCTGGCAAGCGCAAAGTTGTAAGTTGGATGAATCCCCTGTACCAAAAAAACAACAACAAAATAACCAAAAAAACCCAAACTGTGTGTCTGTGTACATGAATGGCATTTTCAAGGAATCAGGTCATCTCTGACTTGCCCCAGGTTTTAATCTCCCTGGAAAGGACCATTGCGTGACTTCATGGGAAGAGTCCCCAGCTCCTTGGCTTACAGCTAAGATGGTGACCACTGTCTAAGACCAGAAGAAACTGAGGTTTCACAGCTACGGCAAGCAAGAACATCCCTGACCGCTGGTCACTACAGCTGCAGGCATTTGAGGACATGGCCCGCGGCAGCCTTTGCTGTCATCTTCCCCTGTGCATTCTGGGGAGAGTTCCTGCAACCTGAGCAAGGCAGTGAAAGCTCGAGCTACACTGATCATCATCATCTTGGCACTGCCTCTGTGTGTCACAGCAAGCAGCCTGCTAGCTGCGGTCCTCACCCTGTGTCACCTGCTTTTGATGACCCTGTTCCCCTTATCCCTGGCCAAAATCATTGGGAATTCATCACAGTCCAGCTGCACCCAGAACACCTGGTAGACTTCCGTCACTTGTCACACAAGCCTGTGCAGGAGTCTCCAGCTACGGGTCAAGACCGTTCCCGAGGAGGACTGGATGGATGCATAGTGAGCATCCACTGCCGCAACCCTGCCACCATCATGAGCCTGCACTTCTCTTGCTGGAGACTCCCATCCCAGCCTGCGGACATAGCCCATGCAGCCCCTAGCACAGCTGCTAACAAATGATTTCCAAACTATATATTATCAGTAATTTTTCTTTACTTCAATTTTTTTCCAGTGCTGGGACTGAACCTAAGACCTTGTGCGTGCTGGGCCAGTGTTCTGCTGAGATGTATCCCAGTCCTTCCACTCAGATTCTAAAGCACATTCTAAATCTGACTTGGCAAAAGAGATGGTAATCGTACAAAAATCCTGTGGAAATCCTGCTATCCTGTGTAAAAACCAGAAAACCATCTACATGCCCAGTAAGATAGATTGCTTAGAACTTAACATGTTCACATAGTGATCATCCACTGAAATCCCTGCTGTAGAACAGTCCCATAAGGACATGGAAACACTTGCAACTGTAGGTTAAGGTTAGCCCACTCGGCGCTGCTCCATCCTCTCCTCAGGAGAGGCTGGTACCTCCAGGGGCTCAGGAAGCTGCCGGCTTCCGGTCCTCCTGCCACAGCCTGCTGCAGGGTCCTGGGCAGTCAGACCGAGTACTGCATCACGCGTTTCCTATAAGGACCTTGAGGAAGGTAAGTGAGTTCATGGTGTGGCTGCACTGTGATTCTCTGGTTGGAGAAATCACAAATTCCAGAGGAAACAATACATGCTTGTGTTTTCAAAGTGTTACAGTGACATGCAGTAGTGGTGCAGGATAGATATATTTAGTAGACCTAATAGTGAGGGCTTCCACTCATTCATTACAAATGAGCTATTCAACTATATATTATACTTTTTGTATCATGTTATCCTTTAAATAACTGAGACAATAATTAGCATCACCTCTTTTACAGATGGAAAATATGAAATACCCTGGATTATTGTGAATTAATATGTGTTCATTGTTTTGTTTTATAGATCATTCTCGAGAAGTCCTGGAGCAACTGTCAGGCCCAAACAAACTGAAACAGGTGACATGGACGGTGTACTGACACTCCGCACTGGGCAGAGCAGGCTGGAGATCACTCCTTTCTAGTGACTTCACAGTTTCCACTGTCTTAGCTCAGCTGTAACTCTGGAAGGAAGCAGCTGAACCTTAGTGTATACCTTTGTGCTTCAAAGTTACCCAGATGCAAACACTTCAACGCTATGATGCGGTATTTATTTGAGAGATCACAGCTCTTCCGCCGTGAACCCAACCATGAACTCACAACTTTGGGCCAGAGGAGGCTGGTGTGGTTGCTGAAATAAAAAAGTCTCAATTTACGTTTTCCCTCAAAATTTCCTTCACCTACGAGTAGGTATTCGAACCGTTCTAAGAAACATGTAGTTGTCTGGATAAATTTTAGGAGAATTTTAAAGTCATTTCTGAACAATCTTCCGAGCCATTTTGTGGCTCTCATCTGCACCAAGTGTTTAAACGCCCATCTGCCAAAAGCCAAGCTGGACGCAGAGCCTGGTGATTCTTCATCGGGTTTGTGTACCTGTGCTTCACTGAAAGACACAGCAACAGTGAATAACACTAAACCTTAGTGTGTGGCAAGCACATTAAACCTTCATTACAGGGCTCCTGCCTGGGCGTGTTTTCTGTTGATTTTTGTGGCTACCTCCCCAAACATTGTATTTATCTGTCGACTTTCTTCTTCAGCAAAACTATACTTAGAAATGTGTAAAACTGGGTACATGTGAAATGTCATTAGGTCTTTTTTTTCAAATAAAAACTCTAATAACCATAAAATTACCCAGTGCAGACCAAGCTCAACTACTTCAGTATTAATAATTGATGCCCTTTTTTTGGCCCAGCCTGGCCTTGCTTTGCAAGTGTGCGATCTATCATGTATGTGTACCGTGGGTAAGGCCTGTTCTCTGCAGACCTTCCGGCCTACAGAGAGCAGAAGCCAGTGCTGCTGGGGCAGGATCCAGCCTGGACCCGCTCCATGGAAAATACAGTTCAGAATCACGAAGTTAAAATTCTAGGAAGGCCAGTGCCCGGTGAGAAGCAGCTTTGATCCTGGACACCCACAGTGTTCAGATAGGTACAAAACCCCTTCTAATAGCAATCGAAGGCAGATTCAATACATGGTTACATTTTTCTAAAGACAAACCAATAAAATTTAATATTGAGTATTTTACCAAGTCAGTAGTTTCCAGATGTGAAATTCACAATTTAAAACGTGAGCTGCTCAGGCCAGCACGTTCCGTTCTCCCCAGCAGAAGCCAGAACTCGGGTGACCTCAGCACAGCCCCGCCTCGCTGCGGCCGGGTCTGAGCAACCCGGAGATTCGGAGCTGGCGCTCGGGGTAGGGGGACACACAGGCGCCCACGCAGGACAGCGGGTGGGAAGCTCTGAAGCCCAGGGGAGGCAGGAGCGTCGGTTGTTTGGCTCGCAGGTCGTAAGTATTCCAGGTCCTTCTTGCCTCAAACAAAGAATTAGGTACAACAAGCCAAGAACAGGCCAAAAGTTTTGTTTTCGAAGTGCGGGGTGAATGGGTAGGGGGGAAACCATCTCTGCAGAGTGAACTTGGACAGAACAAGAGAAAAAGGGGGTAAAAGCAAACATCAAAGTACACGCTGCGTCTGGGAAACGCTGCCTGGCCACTGTACGCAGCTCAGCTCGCGCTCTCCTCTCTCAGGCCGTCCACAGCCCTGTGGGAGTCAGGAGAGGTTCCGCGCGAGGAGGGTCCACACGGGAAGGCTCCACCTCGGAGGGTCCAAGCCGGTCCTGAGAGTTATTGGGCCACAGGTCTGCCCCTGTCCCCGGCCAGCTTTGCCATGCGGGGAGGACCTCCTCCCTCAGTCCTGTACTACGAGGCAAGACCTTGTCTCAAAAAAGTCAGCGACGAAGGAGGACTCTGAAACACCAGTGGGAAACAGCCAAATCAGCCGCTCCGAAGGAGTGTCGGGTCGAAGCCCGTTCCCGCCTCCTCGGCTGACCTGCAGACCTCAATCCCTCGGCGGGCCCATGCTTGCGACCGCCCTGCTCCAGTCTCCCGAGTGGCCGAGTTAGGGAACCACGGCAGGCGTGGAGGGCGCACCCGCTCTAGTTTGCAGCCTGACCGAGGGGGGCGCCCGGCTCGGCGCGCTGCTGGGCCGGGAGACCCCCAGAAGCCTTGCGCACGCGGCGCCTCCCCGAGGTCAGCAGCCAGGCGGGGCCAGGCGGGCGCGGGCTGCAGACTCCGCGCCGCTGTGACTCTCCAGAGGCGGAGCCCGCGCGGGATCTCCAGAGTGCTGGGGGTCGGAGATTCAACTCTGTCCTCTGGCCCGGCGTGATGGCGCACACCTGTAAGCCCAGCATTCGGGAGGCTGAGGCAGGAGCATTGCCATGGGTTCAGAGCCAGCCTGGGATACATTGTGAGTGAGACCCTGTCTCTAAAAAAACGAAGAAGAAGAAAAGAAAAGAGGAAGGGAAGGAAGAAGGAAGGGAGGAAGTTACTTTGAAAAGGAAAGGAAACCTAGAAAACAGAGTGAGTCTGTCCTCCGAGCTTAGTTGCAGGTATTTTGGGGCTTAGTTAGGCCACAGAACCGCCGGTTTTGACCTCCCCTCACTTCTGTGCAGGAGAGTTACACAGTGTCTCAGATCTCTGCTGAATTTGGGTCCTTGAATGTATCTGTTCTTGGTTCCTGAGGATACATAGCTTTTTTTTTTTTTTTTTTTTTAGCATTGTCTTTCGATGTAGATGGTGTTCAAACTAAAAATATGTTTAGTTTTTGTGTTTAAAAAACCACCTGGTTAAAAACCAATTGAAAAGGCATTTCTTTTTTCAAAAAAAAGATGCCAAAGGCAATATTAAATTTTGGTTTATATAATGAAAATTTTTTATTTTTTAATATGCTAACTGTTTAATTCCTTGCTGATTAAAGTTTGAATAGTTTTTTAAATCTAACAAGCCTGGCAGAGTGGCACACTCATCTAATTCCAGCACTCCGGAGGGTGAATTACTGCAAGTTTGAGGTCAGCCTTCCCTACATAAGGCTAAATTCAACAACAGTTCAAAAGGCATCAAGAGACCCTTAAATTTAAAACAAAAACCAAATCTAATCATATTTTTCCTTTTCATTCAAAAGTAATTTTTCCGACAAAGAACCCTAAAGTTTTTGCCAATATGGCATATATTAGATACTACATTTTGTAAATCTATGACTACGTATCCTGAAAACAAAATAGAGGATGCTGAGAAATGTTGAAGTTTTAGGAACTTTTGCAGATCTCAGTGCCTATGATACCTGATTGTGTTGGGGCACAATTATAACCTAAGAACACATTTGTAAAATAGCAAACTTATGGGTATCTCGTGATACAAATTAGAGAGCAATTAGAGGTCTCACCAAGTTTCTGCTGAATTCAGTTGACCTCGACAATGTCTACAGCCCAGGTTTACACCTCTCCGAAGCACCCAGTCAGCCTGTCTATATCTTAAGGCACCCTGGGCTACTCAAGGGCACCTTTGATTATGCTCACCCCTGTACGGGCCCCTCTTCTTGTTCCCAGCTCTACACTGTGCTCACCCTGAAAGTGGTCCCTTCTGCTTATTCCCAGTATGTTTCTATACCATGATAAACAATTCCTTTGTTTCAACAAATCTGTTCAAGACCAGCCTGCCTGCCAATATATGACTCAATGCATGTAACCAGTTATGTAACATTTGGTCACTTGCTTTGTATTTTCCTCTTCTACATGCTATACAAATTAAACTCTCTGTGAACTCAGGGCTGTTGCCTTTGGGAACCATCCTGATCCCCCAACAGTCTGCTGGAGTAAAGATTAAATGCTGCCTTCTTATGTCCTCAGTGGGAAGAGTCTTCCTTTCAGTTTGATTTGGGAATTTTCCTGCCACAGTCATTACAGTGAATGGGGAGCCGGCCTTGGGCTCAAACTGTGGCTATAGATGCAGCACAGGTCCCAGAACTGTGTCCTCAGCAGAGAGAGCAGAGGAAATCTGGACACAGTAAAACTGACCCATCTCATCTTGGATCCTAGTGGAATACAGATCTCCCCTGAAGACGCACACCTGTCCTCACCAGTAGGGGCTGTGCCAACACCACTTGCATCTTAGGCAGTTACGGCTGGAATGCTGACCAGGGGCTCCTGGGGTGGGGTAGAGAGCCCTTTCATTCCTCATCATGGTCCAGGAAGTTTACATTTGTAATTGCATGGAAAAGTTACTGGAATTCTAGTGAGTTAATTCCAATCTACCACTTCCAGTGCAACACACAATGAGAATAAAGACACCAAGGCATATCTATAGTTGTGGGGAGCCAAGGGATCCTAAGCCCAGTTAGAACAATGGCTAACTGGCACAAAGGCCTCAGCCTAGGACCGAGCCTGGGTTTTATTCATTCATGAAGAAGCAAGTGGCTTGAGGATGAGTGACTGTGCGAGTGGTGAGAAGTGCATGAGTGCTGTGAGCTGGGCTGGGGAGGTGGCCAGAGGTAACTTCTACAATGTGCAGAAAGAAGGCCACGCAGAAAGAGCAGTCTGCGTAACACAATCCGAGGTAGTGTTTACTGTGGCTGGCACTTCAGCTCTGATGTGTAATCTTTCTTGCACTGGAAAGCCATAGCTTCCATATCTCGAGGCTCCATCCCAGCCGACATCATGGAGCCTCACTCTCCCACATGGGCCTTGGGAGTCACTGGGCAGGATAACACTGGCCTGTCACCTTGCTTCAAAGACTACACATCAGCACCTCGGCTAGACCCATTTGCTCTGCTTAAAATCAGTTGTAGGGGTTAAGGGAAAGTCCTAGCCAGCTCTGTACAGATCAATACATGGAAATAGGGCTGGATTTAGCCAAGATGGAAGTAACTGCTCTTCTTTCAAGGAGGATTGTCCAGGTGGTCCTCCACAAGGTGGGATCTCCCTGCAAAAAAACACAGGGAGCCCCCAGGAACTGTGAGCTCAATCTGGAACATGGTGCAGGGCCCACCAAAAGCAGCTTACAGAATCACTGCTGCTTGTGCAGGCTGTGGGCTGCAGCACAGAAGCACCTGACGTTCATCCTGAGAAAAAATGAGTTCATCCATTTTAGGTGGGAAGTCTGCACCCACTCCTCCGAGCAGCAGCCACAGCCACCCCACCCCTGCAGTCTCCTTCCCCTGACAGCATCAGGGCGACCCACAGGGAACCTGAGGCAGAGGATAGAGAAAACACATGTGCAACAGAGAAATGAGGAAAGGTTAGTGAGAGGAATACAAAAACAAAGATGTGGCCTTTGGGCCAACAGGACAAACATAGGATCCAGCAGAGGGACTTGGCCCAGACCTGTGAGTGTGTCTGGCAGAGGTGGGGTGGACTCTCGCTGCTTCGAGTTTATGGACCTGTGACACAAAGAGGTTAACATGTTTCACAGGAGTGGTATGATGTACAGAATCAACTTTCTATGAAGTTTCTTTCTTTGACTTTCTTTTTTAAAGCAGTAATAAAGTTTATTTGAAAAAAATAAAGGTGAAGAATGAGGGATAACTAGTCCTGCAGGGCACACTTAGGTCAAGGAAAAGAGGAAAAGCAAGATAAAAGGACAGTCTGGAGAAAGCAGGGAGGACTATCACGAGGAGAGCCATGAGACC